CAATATAAAAAAAAGACATTAAGCCATTAGAGAGTCCAAAGGAGGCCATGAGGATGGGGAAGGGTTGGAGGGGAAGCCTTATGAGGAGGCTGAGGGCACTTGGTTTGTTCAGCCTGGAGAAAAGGAGACTGAGGGGAGTCCTCACTGGGGTCTGCAGCTTCCTCATGAGGGGCAGTGGAGGGGTAGGTACCAACCTCTGCTCTCTGTGACCAGTGACAGGACTTGAGAGAACAGCTGGAGCTGTACAGGGGAGGGTCAGGTTGGATCTCAGGGAAAGCTTCTTCCCCCAGAGGGTGGTTGGCACTGAGCAGGCTCCCCAGGGCAGTGGGCACAGCCCCAGGGCTGTCTGAGTTCAAGGAGCATTCGGACAACACTTTCAGGCACGTGGTGGGATTCTTGGGGCGTCTTGTGCAGGGCCAGGAGTTGGACTCAATGACCTTGATGGCTCCCTTCCAACTCAGTACATTTTATGACACCTAAACCACCCCTCGGTCCACTCTCAGGGCGTTCATCCTCGGCAGAACTCGCAGTGACACCAGGCACTGTCCGAGGCACTGAGGTGTCCTGGGTGTGCAGGACTCCATCAAACCACGTCTCACCAGGAGCAGACACTCCCTGGGCACGGAGAGGCTGCAGCCCCAGAGCCCAGGCCGTGCCTCAGGCCCGGGGGGGGCCGGGTTTGCGGTACTTGCACTGGATCCACACCCGGTACATCGTCACCTGCTTCCCACGGTTCACCTGCAGCCGCCGATCCACCACGTTCTGGATCTTCTCCAGCCCAGCCCTGCTGAAGAGGTGGTTTAATTCATCTGGAAGCAGAGAGAAGGGCACTGAGGAGGCTGTAATTCCTTTAACTGACAGCTGCTCACGCTGAGGGCTGAGCCGTGCTGAAAGATGGGCCAGAAGAAACTCAGGGCCTCACCCTGGCAGGGAAATGATCAAAGGAGACTTAACTGCTGTTCCAGGGGGGTTTAACACCACAGTTTGTCAAGTTTTCCTTCTAGCAAGGAAGGAAAGAAGAATTTGGAGTACAGCTAGAGTTATAGAAACTTGACAAAGAAAACAGCAGCAGTTTCCCACATGGACACTGCCTCCAGTAACTGATTAAGGAGCATCTTCTGACAAGTAGGGACAGATCCATTCCTTCCCCTTCCTACCCCCTCCAGAGGAATTTCAGAGTCTGCAAGAGCAAAGAACAGGATCAGACCTACGCCTTTAAATGGTGGCAGTAAGATCTGTGCTGTATAGGCTGGAGGGGAATGGGATTCATTAAGGCTAAATTTGGGGAAAAAAACATCCTTAAAAACCACACCCTGTTGGGGCCCAATCAAAGCATTAACAGCCCTGGAGGCTTCAGCACTTCCACGGGCAGGTATTCCTGACCAAGCAAATAAGTCTCAGAGTGCCCCAGCACAGTGGCTGTGGGCAGAGCCAGCCCCAGTCCTGCTGAGCAGCAGAGAGCTTGTTCCATGGCAGCCCAGGAGCACGTGGTTTGTGTGGAGTTTCTGTAGGAAAGGGTTGACAGGTCCCAGCTTGTGCTCCTTTATCAGATGCTTTCCATCGTGAGGTGCTTGCCAAACACACATTAAACATTAATTTTGTTGTGACAAACAAGACTGGAGCAGTGGGGAAGGGAACAGTCCGAGGCAGTTGTGCCCCTGCTCGAACGCTGACCAGGCACTGACTGGAGGTGCAACTGGTGATAAACTGGGAGAAGAACACACCCCTGCCAACACCAAGCAGCAACAGAACTTGAAGGGTGCCTCAGCTCCATGCTGAGCCACACCCTTCTGATTTCCTCATAGGAGAACAGAAATATTAAGGGAAGTTCCTCCAAGTGGTGTCCAACTCCCTCCATCACCTGCAGGCAAGATTCAAGGAGAGCTCCTCCAATCCCACCCCTCCCAGGGGAGCAAACACTTCAGTTTTTCTCTAAAAGGATTTTCCACTAAGGAGTTCACCATACTTGAACCAGGAACTGACAAACCAGGTTCAATTAGGAGACACTTAACAGTGCTCCAAGAAAGACAGACTGGAAAGAGCTTGTGGCCAAACTTGAGGGCAGAGGGACAAGAAGCGGTGAGGAGAGTCAGAGGGATGTTTTTGGATTGTCAGAGGGATGTTTTTGGATAGTCAAAGGGATGTTTTCAAGCCTCCTACCTTGTGTGAAGAAGTAGACTCTGGTGCCATCACCTCTCACATAGAAGTTTTCAGACAGACATTGACCTGAGGGCAAGAGGGATTTAAACAGTTACCAACTATCACTTAAAAATCAACAACCACCATCAAACAACGGGCACACTCTGTGCTTCCAGGGAATTAATGAGCTGCCTCCACCCAGGGCAGACACAGCTCCAGAGAAGCATCATCTACCAGTGATGTGGCCAGAGTTGCCAAGGGAGGAGGGAAAATACCTTTCTTAAACCGAAGCTGGGCCAGGTCGTAGCGTCCGTAATCCCGTAACAAAATCATCCCCCCTGGCTTCAGGAGGCGGCTCAGTCTGCTCACAACACTCTGCATCCTGAGGGAGGAACAAACCAGGAGTGCTCAACATCCTGCAAAATCAGGCTTGATCCCTTCCAAAAAGATGGGATCAAGTTTCAACTCGATATATGGGTATAGATGTTTGAATTTCACATAAAGAGCTCCCCGAAGCCAGCAGGGTTCTGAGCTCTCTCTCAAGTGGGTGGATTTGATTTGGCCTCTTTATTTCTGACACTCCCTGATTCTGGGGTACTTTTTTCCTACAAGGATAACAAGCCTGCCACGGCAGGGGTTAACTGCTCTCCTTTACTGATCACAAAAAGATCTCCCCTGGTTTATGTATAAAAAAGTAGTAAGTGGACTTGAAGAAAAATGCTGTGTAATAAAACTAAAGGGAACAAAAAGAGAGACTAATATAGGTTGTAACACAGTGTCACACTAGGATCACAGCACTTGTCTTACACTGTTTTCTCAACCTGTCCCCTCCCTTCTTGCCACCTCCCATGTGAGAAATTCATCCACCCTTTGAGCCTGAAAATCCAGCAGAGTATTTTCCAAACAGGTGCTGAGTGCTCAGCATGGCTGAGGTTCAGAGCAGTGACCACAGCAAGGCACCCCCTGCAGCCACTTAGCACTTCAAAATCACACCTGTCCTCTGCCAGAACCTGTTACAGCATCAAGCACCTGCTTGTAAACTCTGTAAACTTCATTTACAGAGGCTTCATGGAAAACTGGACCAGAAACACAACAAACTTTAATTTTACTTGACATGAGACTATTAAAGAGCTGCAGTTGTAGAAGAATTACCTTCTGCAATCACAAAGATTAAAACTTACTTCTCTGGGAGAATTGCTGAGAGGACAAAGATAAGAATAACAATGTCAAGACTCTCCTCTGGCATTGGGAAAGGACTTTGGTCGTTGCACAGGTCATGGACAAAGGCAAAGCAGCGAGAAGAATCATATTCTGCATGGTTCTGTATTTGAGGGGAGAGAAATCAAGAGCATCAGTAGCAGACCCTGACCTCAGTATTATCTGGACATGGAGCATTTTAACTTTCACATCATCAAGTGGTGTGTCCAGAGATCTGTGTCAGCCTCACTGGTCTAAGGCAGATGGGGTCAGGTGGGTTGGGCAGGAACAGTGCTGACATGGGAAAAAATAAGAACACACAGGAGGTTTACCAAGAAGTTGGTTTTGTTACAGTCAGACAATCAGCACTGCCAAACCCCCAGACTAGATTCAGGCTTTGTTGGAATTTTCAGGTCAGATTTTCCACTAGTAGTAGTAAGAAGTGAGGGATTTATATTGTTAAATTGGAAATCCTTACATAAGTGTGAGCATCAGGGCCCCTCTCTGCATCACTGACATCAATATTCATTTCACCTACAAGCAGATATTCCTTATCCCCCAAATATCAAACCTGGCTCCCTAAAACTGCACTCTCAAAAATCCCATTTGGACCTCTGTAAGAAGTTGTGTGCTTTCCTGAAGCTGCTGCTTTGAGAAGTGGTTGTGTCACCTTAGGAGGATGAAATGGGTGCTGCCTCTGCTGCTCTCTCATCTCGTGAACTGACTGATGGCATTTGATACTTCCTAGATTCTCAGTTCTGCTCTGACCTGAAATCTGTTAGCAGCTTTTGTCCTTTGACTAAATCCCAGCCTCCTGCTCCACAAACAGGCTCCCTCCTCAGCAGTCTGTGCTGGAGCAATCAGACCACGTTCCCAGAACTGACAGCAGTGCACACACAAACCCAAACCAGCTTCAGTTCCTGTTAAAAAATAGCCTGAATGTTTTCAAGGTTCAGCAGTTACTCAGCTAAAAGAGCACTGGATTGAGAAAAGTACTGCCAAGCACAGGGGAAGAAAATCTGCCTGACTTGTCTGCTGCCAATGTGACATTTTGAGAACTTCAACTTCCCTCCTTCCTACAATCTTTGATGGCTCATTTTCCAGATTTAGGGTCAGCAGCAGTGCTGGCTAAAAACAGAAAGCTGCCAGCACAGCCAGAGAGCTCCTGGAAGCTGGGAGAGATTTGTGTTAATGGGAAATTGGCCCCAGGTACTTCCCACTTTTTCATAAATCACCACTGAGTTTACCTGGACAAGATCCACAGCTGTTGTAGAAAAATCACAGCAATAAACAAACAGGCCTGGGTCACTGCAAGAAAGCAGAGAAACTCATTTATAGCCAGCAATTAAGGAGTGTCTCACAGAGTGCAGAACTGGAAGCCTGGGCTTTAGTCTGTGTGTAAAAATTTGGTGGATCCCATTGTTCCTTTATGCCCACTGTGCAACTGCTTCCTTTTCCTTCTGGAAACAGCAAATGGGAGACAGCAAATGTGAATGTCGTGTATATATTTACAGTGAGTCACATTTTTTTCACTGAATCTACTTTAATAATAGACCCTTAGATTATTATTACACTTTCCTTTGCATTAAAGGAGAGACAGGTGAAAAACGTGGCAAGTTTAATGTAAATTACTCCTGGATAGATGGAACATTTTGGAAAACACACTGAAAAATGATTCAAGGGTATCACAGAAATAGAAATGTGACTTCCAGCAGAAATCACTCCCATGTTAACATCTGCAAATCAATACTGGAAAAGGAGAGGCACCAAGGCCTGCAGGAAAATGCTTTCAAAATGAGACATGTGAACTCACAGCAGACTTTGTTGGTTGCATTCTAAGACCAAAGATTTCCAAGCTCAGAGCACAATAATATGAAGTTGCAGGTGGCAAAGGCCTTTCTCTGAGATTGTTTAAACCAAGATCACAGAGAACACTTTTCCAGTTGGTTTTTAGAGGCTGGTGGATCATGCAGGTAAAAACCTACTTCATAGAATCCCAGAGTGGTTTGGGTTGGAAGGGACCTTAAAGCCCATCCAGTGCCACCCCCTGCTATGGGCAGGGACACCTTCCACCAGCTCAGGTTGCTCCAAATTTATCCAACCTGGCCTTGGACACTTGCAGGGATCCAGGGGCAGCCACAGCTTCTCTGGGCAACCTGTGCCAGGGCCTCCCCACCCTCCCAGGGAAGGATTCCTTCCCAATATCCCATCTATCCCTGCCCTCTGGCAGTGGGAAGCCATTCCCCCTTGTCCTGTCACCACTTACTTGTTGGTTTGTAAAATTGGGAAGACTGTATTCCCAGCCCCACAGCCAACCTGCACAAACAAAGCAGATGCACACAGTGAGAATAATTCCTTCAGCACATCCCAAAATTTCAAATCCTCTCTCTACAGCCAGGCAACAAAGAGAACCTCCCCAGTACCAGCTGAGCATGGCAGTGACCATTTGTAACCCTCCCTGCAAGGTCTGTGGTCAGCTCTGAGGAGCAGAATGACTCTTGTGGAGAACACTAAGCAAGTTCTTGTCAAAATCTTACTAGCAAACTATATATTGTTACTCTCTAAAAGCTGTTTTTGCTGGAAGCCCAAGCATAACAACCAGTCTGAGTCACTGAAACACTGGCAAAGGCCAGGGGTGGGTTACATTTGCTTCCACAGAAATTCAGAGAAATGGAGAAGGGAAGTTTGCTTTACCCAAATTACATCCTGCTGTTGCAGAGTTTCCTTCACTATATGGCTTTTCCTCAGCTTACAGCCAGGCCCACAATGATTCTGCCTTATTATTCCTTTTACTTGTTCCCATTTGAAGAGAAGATGATGGCTCCCACAACTGGGTTTGGGGAATTTGCCTCTGAGTGTTTAGGGAATCAGTAAAATTGGAATAGACTGAGCAGAGAACACCACTGAGGGTTTGCAGGGACAGATGTGCTTAGGTGAGACAGGAAAGCCACAGTGATAATATCAAAGCCTGAAAAAGCCTCCAAACCTCAGATTAAATTAAAATATCAAAAGGACAGTTCAAACTAACTCCCTCTGGAAGGGCAGGATTTCCATTAAATACAAAGCACTAAACAAATCCAGCAATATCTACAGTGAACATGTAGAGGTGGCAGAGCAAAAGGTCACAACCAGCTGTCAGGAGTCCAGTATTTATAATTCCCACAGATTTCTCTCTGGGACAAAGCCTGTATCAGTCTGGGATTCCCTGTTATCACATGGGCCATAAGGAACAAACCCAAGAGCATCTTTACATTCTTGGCTTCACTGCTTTGTTTCACACCTCTCAAGGCAAACAGGAGTCAGCACAAAAGATAAATGACAAGGGAAAACCTTATACAAACAAGCAAAAGAATCAGTTCCTTGCAAAGATGACTTGTAAATGCTTGTTTGAACATCTGACAGCAGTAGTTTGGCTTTTAAACTCTGAAGCTTCTTACATCCTTGTGCTCTGCCAACTCAAGAGTCTGAACCAAAGGAATCCCAGCAGATTTAGTTCAGTTCTAAGCTGCCCTCTGATTTCTGCATTCTGCTGACTGAAGGCACTCAACCACTCCCTGTTTGCCAGTGATCCATATTTTTATGTCCCAGTCACACAGCCCTGATCCCAAGGCACAGTTTGGTGTGTGACTCTGCTTTCCAGCTCTCACCTCCAACACACGGTAAGAAGCAGCTGATCCTGGGTAATCTCCAGCCCTCTGGGTCAGCTCCCTGTGCTCCTGTGCAGCCAAATCCTCTGTGCTCCCCTCAGCTGTGCTTTGGAGCAGGTTGGACTGACCCTCTGTCCTGGTTTCCAATGAACAGTGTCCATTTTCACACCTTTCACTGTTGGATTCTTCTTTGGTACTGAATTCGTGCAGAGAATCCCCATTTTGGCTTGAGGTCCTGTGGGGTGCCAGCTCAGGAAATTCAGTGAACAGCCAGTGCCTGTCCTTGAAGAAGCCATTTTCGTGGATTTTATAGAAGTCATCCCAATATCTCTTAGCATTCACCTCATATTCCTCTGGGAACACAAACAAAAACATCAGCAGGTCTCAGGGTTGAGGCAGGTCAGACAGGGAGGGATCACTGCAGACACCTATGCAGCAACCTGCTCTAATAAGGAAGATTATCCACTGAAAATCACCTTTATTTAAATTTGCCATCCCACACAAACACTCAGGTTGCCTCCTCACAGTCACTTTGTTAGGACATGAAAAGGGAAAAGAGAGAGAAGAGGAAACTCTGTGTGTCCTGGTAGGATTTAAAGGAAGCTGGCAACAGAAAAAGCCTCTTTGAAGGACACTGGAATGAAGAAATCCAGGTTTT